ACTGACATGGATTTTAGTTAACATGGTGAAGCACATCCCATACCATACACTGGTGTTTTAGGTTCTTCAAACAGACCTAACCCCAGAAGTTGTGTGGTGACACCCTCACCTTGCAGCTAAGGACAAGTGGAAAGGCCTTCTTTAGGGTGCACCATAGACAATGATGGGTAGTTTGAGGCAAACCCAAGGCATTGTCATCAAATGTAGGAGCTATAGGACCTTAAATTTGTGTACAAACTGCGCACCACAGTAGGCGCATTATTCGTGCAGTAGTGGACAGACAAATTCCCCTGAGGATGGCTTTCTCTAAGGAAAAACAATAACAAATGATCAATAAAGTCCAACTCTGATAATACCCTGTTTTCATAAAATTGGTCAGCCACTACATTCAACAGAAATACTGATTAATATACAATCCGGAAAAATTCAGTAATTATTCACTTATGCCTATGAGTACTTTAGTATTAATTAGATTTGAAAATATATACAAATTCTAATTGTCATTGTCCCACCTATTTTGAGCCTATGGCAAAAAATTCCTTTGACTGCCCTGTTAAATGTTTAAGTCCTCACGCACATTTGACGTTTTTATAACGCTGGTAATGTTAGCTGTGTAAAGTCACGTTAAAAACGAGAGTTATTAAGCTTTTTTGCATTAGCGTTTAGTGGTGTTTTGCCGCAATTAGCTGCGTTTTCCCATATTTTCACGCGTCTGTAGTTTTTAGCTTTTTTTACCTTTGGTCAAGACAACATTCAAAAATGCTGGTTTGCGGTGTTTTTGCTGTGTTTTTCAGCATTAGAGCATTTTTACAGCTAAAAAACTCCTCTAGAAACCCACTAGTTTTGGGGTTTTTTCCAGCCAAAAAACGTCCCAGCCAAAATACGTTGATTACAGCCTATGTGTGAATGGACACACAGGGGTTTATTTACTAAAGCTGGAGAGTGCCAAATCAGACTCACTTCTGCATAGAAACCAATCAGCTTCCAGGTTTCATTGCCAAAGCTTCATTGAACAAGCTGAGGTTAGAAGCTGATTGGTTTCTATGCAGAAGGGAGTCTGATTTTGGACTCTCCAGCTTTAGTAAATAAACCCCATAGGATAACATGCTGGGGAGTTTGACTGTAGAAAAAAAATGTCAAACGACAAAAACATCAACTGTAAAAAACGTTGTGTGCATAAGGGCTAAAGGATAAGTTCACCTTTGGGAACATGTTACCCATTTTTAGGGTTGAACATGTAACATGTTCCCATAGCTGCAGCCGCGACCACCGACCCCCTCCTTCGGACAGATAGTACGGGGAGACATTTCCCGATACTATCTGTCAGAGTTGAAAACAGTGCGACTGTATGAGGCTCCGCGTCATTCATTCACGGACTTCTGTGAATTAATGAACTGCAAGTCCCGGCATACATCCTGTATGGCAAGCAGACATTCTGACAGGTCTGCAGGAGACCTGCATGGCACCAGTGATCTACTGATCACTGGTGCAATGCTTTCCAGGCTCCTTTGGACAAATATAATATATGCACATTTTTTTACCTGCAAAAAAAAATGTGCATTTATTATTTTTGTCCAAAAGGTGAACTTATTCTTTAAGCCAGTCATACATGGATCGAAATTCTGCTGGTTCAGCAGGGACTGGTTGAATTTTGATCCATGTATGGGCACCCTGGTTATGCATTGATCAACAAAAGATTAGTACCGCAGGCTATAGCTGGCAAGACTAATCGTGTTCTGCTGGCAGGGAAGAGTATTATTATGTCAATAGTGGAGACAGCTTGGTACAAAGAATGGGACTTATTTATTTCTTGCCATGCTTTTTATAGATGTTTAAGGAAATGAACAATGTTTCCATGTGACACAACAAATACAGCAATAGTTTCAGTGGCTAATGCAAGTATGCAAAAAATACAGATATAACAGCAGAATTGGCTCCATCCACGTGAAAGTCATCCAAATGGGCTAAAAGGTCTTCTACACAGTGAATGTTATTGATCTTGAATTTGCTTTGTACATTATGTAGACACAAACCCTATAACTGAATGAAATTTAGTTTGCTAATGTACTGTGTATCATAAACTATTGCAGTTTCTTAATTTTGTGCTTGTTTTCACCTTTATGTAATCCTTTGTTTGATCTCAATGCTGCTGATCTCCTGAATTGTTTTTGTAGCCACTTCTAAATGCATACACTTTAGTGTTCACTAAGTGGCATTTCTCAGGGAGGGGGGGTCCTAATGACAACAACAGTGGACCATGCCTGTATAATGTGTAATGACCATCTACTGTATATTCTTTGTTTAACCACTTCCCAACTGCCCTATATAGCAGAAATACTGCTACAGGGTGGCAGGGCTGCTGCGAAAAATCACGTTATATATACGCGCTTTTGTATTTCCAGGTAGGGGACGCACTTCCGTTGGCAGCTTTCGATCATTGGGTAGCAGAGCCATACAAAGCAGTGTACTTACACAGTAAAGCATGCACACAGTAAAATACACACAGTTAACCCTTTGGTCACCCCAGATGTTAACCCCTTCCTGCCTAGTGTCATTAGTACAGTGTCAGTGTTTTTATTAGCACTGATCACTGTACTAATGTCACTGGGGATGTTTGTGACAGTTAGTCAGTTCCTCCCCAGTGTCAGAATGCCCGCCGCATTCCCGCAGTTCCACTATAAGTCACTGATCGCCACTATTACTAGTATATAGAAAAAAATGTACAGTGTGTATGTATATATATATATATATATATATATATATATATATATATACCGCCATTTGTAGATGCTATAATTTTCACGTTTAAAACAATTAATGTACACGTATTGGAATTTTTTTTTTTAGCAATGACATGTTGCAGAATACATTTTGGCCTAAATTTATGACAAAATTTGATTTTTTTAATTTTTTTTGCTGGATATGTTTTAAAACAAAAAGTCAAAAATATATATTTTTTTTTCAAAATTGTCTGTCTTTTTTAGTTTATAGCGCAAAAAATAACAAATGCAGAGGTGATCAAATACCACCAAAGAAATCTCCATTTGTGGGGAAAAAATGTTTTTAACCACATAAATGTTATATTTTATTATGCATTGCATTGCATGACCACGCAATTGTCACTTAAAATAACGCGGCGCTGTATCGCACAAAATGGCCTGGTCGGGACGGGGGTAAAGCCTCTGGAGGGCAAGTGGTTAAACCCTGTGCATCAAGGTTACAACAGTAAAGCACAAATGGGAACTAGGGAGAGTGCTGTCTCACTGTTACAGGAAGTACCTGACCAAAGATTTTAGAGGCAGGATCCTCACTTATTCTTTTAATAAAAAAAAAAAAAAATAATAAATATATAATGAAATGAAATAATAAAAATTACTATTGAAATTACATTAACCACTTCCAGACCGGACACTTTTACCCCCTTCCTGACCAGGGCAATTTTCAGCTTTCAGCGCTATCACACTTTGAATGACAATTGCGCGGGTCATGCAACACTGTACCCAAATTAATTTTTTACCATTTTTTTGAGACAGATAAAGCTTTATTTTGGTGATATTTTTTTTCACCGCTGGGATTTTTATTTTTTTACTATTTAAATGAAAAAGTCCAAATATTTTTTAAAAAAGTGTTTTTTTTTTATAACATTTTGCAAATAAATAATATTTCATCATAAATCTTTGCCAAAATTTATTCTGTTATCTTTTTAGTAAAAAAAAAAATACAAATTAGTTTATAACCAAAAATTATAATTTTTAAACATTTTCTTTTACATTTTTATTTTATTTTTTCATATTATTATTTTTTTTTTTTTTTTTTACATACTGTCACCCTAGCAGTACAGTGTACTGTGGGGGGTGATGAAGATTTTTTTTTTTTTTACACTGATTGCTTTTACACCCATATAGGATGTAAAAGCAATCATTTCTCTTTCTCTCTGTGTGCATTCTTGCACTCATTGAGAAGTACTGTGTGAGCTGTTGTGAATAGCCTTGTACCATGTGACCTCTGTGATCATTCACAGATTTCACACGTGGTAAGCAATGATGTCACAAGTGACATCTTGCTTACTGCTTTGCATGTGATTACTGATTGGCCAATCAGTGATCACATGATCGGACCTCGTACAGAGGTCCCGTCCGATGATCGGTGTTGCACTGTGTCCTGAGGATACAGCGGGCACCGGATCGTGGTGCTGCGCGCTCCGAGGGAGTGCGCACAAGCAGGGTGCGGGGAGGCCGTTTATAAACGGCCACCCGACCCTGCACTGCCACCGTCCGGCCGTTTATATGCAACGGCCGGTCGGGAAATTGTTAATATGTTGAAGTTTATATGTTAGAGAATAGGCTTACATACATTAAAGCCTGAACTCTTTCTTGGATACACAGAATATAACTGGATACTAACATTTATAGGTAGAGTTGATCCAGGGAATATCTGATTGCCTCTCGGGGGATCAGGAAGGAACTGTTTTCCCTGCAGGAGCAAATTGGTTCATGCTTTGCTGGGTTTTTTTTGCATTCTTCTGGATCAACTGTGAGTATAGGATTATACCTTCTTTTTTTTTTTTATGGTTGAACTGGATGGACTTTTCTCTTTTTTCAGCCAGACTAACTATGTAACTATTAAATCCCAACTTTGAGAATTACATAAAACAAGCATTACACCTTATTCCTTTACCCCCTTAAAGAGCATTTAACCCTACAGTACAAAGGGAAAGGCTACTGCAATGCTAATTTTTGTATAATTTCTGGAGTTAGACTTGAATCTAAATCGTAGAGCAATACAGCTTACCAGTCCTTAGATGTGATGGCTGCTTATTGGCTGCTGCTGTGTATGGCTTTATTTTTGCCTTTTTACCCTGCCACTAACACATCTTCTGTCCTAGGGTGACAACATTTACCTTGATTTATGGGGGGGGGGAGCAACAGTGTCACCCTAGGACAGGCAGTGTCTTGGGACTACAGGACACTTCCCTCGCTCCTCTTCTCCATAACATATGGAGAATTCCCCACCGGCACCTGGCGATCTCCAAGGAACACTGATGGGGGAGAAGTCTGTATGAAAACAATACAGATTTCTCCCCTGTCAGCTCCAACACACTGCTTTGTATTGCTTTGCATAGCAGAGCAATACAAAGCAGCGTGCATACACAGTAAAACACAGCACACAGTAAAACACACACAGCACACAGTTAACCCTTTGATCGCCCCAGATGTTAGCCCCTTCCTGCCCAGTATCATTAGTACAGTGTCAGTGCTTTTTATTAGCACTGATCACTTTATTAGTGTCACTGTATTAGTCTCCCCTGTCAGCTCCAGCACACTGCTTTGTATGGCTCTGCTATGGCAAGGTGTTCTGTAATCCACAGAGTTAAGCTGGGCAGGACGATTAGACTGCCACAGAGCAAACAGGACAACACTGGATCTCTGGCAGGATCAGCAGGTATTTTTTTTGCAATTACTGAACAAACGTTCAATGGTATATTCAACAAGGAGCAAAGCAGTAAAGTTCATTCCAAGAGTTTACATTCTGTACACTTAAGTTAATGACATAATTGCTAGAAAGGTCATTTCAGCATGTGTTATTGGTATTGCAGTCCATCCCTGTACCATCACATTTTTGGGGAATTACGAGCATACCTAAACTGACACAAGCATACAGTATAGTACATTCCATGCATTCTACTCTGTCATTAGTAAGTTTAAGTGAAAATATTTCACACACCACGCTATGACATTTGTCTACGTTTAAAAGGGCAAAAAAGATATATCAGCCAGATGAAGCCCAAACATTTTGTTGAAACAAGTGCTCATTTATAGAATTTATGTTTAGAGATGTGTTAGAAGACTAGGCTGATCAGAGCAAGAGATGTAAAGACATTGCTTACAGATGTTTGCTTTCATATTGTACATCCAGGTTTTACAGTAGAGCAATCATAGCAGAAGAGAAACCACCAGCCTCTTAAGTATTCACCACTGAGATTTCGAAGAAAGTTGCCAGCTCCGTGCTACATCATACTTCCTGCATTATTCCAGGCCAGTATGAATAATTAACATGAAATGTAAAGTGTGTACAGAGGGATGTTGGTGCCTCCTGGCTGCTTTGTTTCCTGCAAGCTAAAGAGCTAAAGCAATAAGATTTATCTGGATTAGGAGTCCAAGTACGCAACGTTTCACTAAATATACTTTTAGGTGAAGTCTGTGCTTAGAAGGAGAGAGGGGCTGAATGTAGAAATAACCATCATAGAGAAACCATTTTTTTTGTAATTTGTTTGTAATAAACTCTTGTCATGACAACATGACTTATTTTTGGAAAAGGATATCTAAACTTGAGACCAAAAATGTAATATATTGCAGCCTTCCAGTCTGTAAATGCAGCTGACGCATTGGTTTTCAATTTTCAGGCTAAGAACATTTTCAGCAAGTGCAGAAAATACTTGATGAACTTGCCAGAAATGCAGTGTGTTGGTAATCTTCTGTGAATTCAACTGAATGCACAATGTTAAATCCTTCCAAAACTATATTCTGTAAAATACAAGTTCAGCTATGTAATGAGATGAAGAGAAGCAGACATATTTACAGGCTAAATTGTAAGAGTGGTCTATGGTGACAACCATCACTCTTCCATAAATACAGGGCTCGTTTATACCTATGGTTGGTGAGAAGTAAAAATAGCCAGATTGACTGTGTTTTTATGCCCCCCCACCCCCCATGTCCCCATAAAATAACACGGTGGCCAGATGACATTGTACATATGCTGTGGCTGTGATGGTCTGCAGCCACAGCAAAGATTATACCCCCTATCACATTTGGTGGGCAGTACTGCAAGTCGAATAACAAGACACGATGAGCCTAGCATTTGGCAATAGGCATTCAGGAGGTTGCAGTATCAGAATGCCTGTCAGACACACATGTACCACTCTCTGAAAAGCAATCCACCACAGACAGCTTTTTAGAGACCAACGCAAGTGTAAAAGGAGCTCTCAATGGAGTTAATGACCAGAGCCACCATGGGACAGAAAATGTGTTATTTTTAGGATTACAAGGTGAAAATAAAGGAAAAAAATGAAAATAAATGCAGCATCAACATCTAAGGACCCAAGGTAAGCGACTGGTGGGAGTTCGTGAAAGTCAAGCTGAGCAGCTTCTTTCAGGCCAGGGGACGCCAGCAAGTGTGTGCCAGGAGGAGGGAACTCAGGAGGCTGCAGCGTCAGCTGCAGTCCCTGCAGGACCTTCATCACTGTGGCTGGGACGTGAGGCAAGACCTGGAGGACACCAAGAAGAGCTTGAAAAAGCACTTTGAGGAAGAATCCAGGCACATTGTCTTCCGTGCCAAGGTGGAGCATCTAGAGAAAGGTGAGAAGTGTAACTCTTTCTTTTTCAGGAAACTCCACTCAGGACACACACCCCTGTCGGAGCTGCGCGACAAGATTGGAACACTCCAGAAGGGGAAGGAGGCCGTGATGGAAGTGGTCAGCGACTACTACTCCGACCTCTACTCCCCCAAAGAAACAAACACGGAAGCGGCCGACAGGTTCTTGTCAGGTATCTCTAACGCTATTGATCCTGCAGGTTTGTCGGCCACCAAAGCCCCCTTGACGTTGGAGGAGCTGCACTCTGCCGCTAAATCCTTTAGGCGGGGCAGGACCCCGGCTGCGACAGTCTCCCAGCAAAGCTCTATGTAGCGCTGTGGGATCTCGTGGGCCCGGACCTGCTCGAGCTGTACGAGGAGATGGTGGTGGAGGGCAAGATGCCTCCTTCGTTGAGGGAGGGGATGATCACGATTCTGTACAAGCGTAAGGGGGAGAGATGTGACTTGAAAAATTGGCGTCCCATCTCTCTCCTGAACGTGGACTACAAGATCCTCGCCAAAGTTATGGCGAACAGGTTGAAGGCTGTCATCGGACAGATAATCCACCCGGATCAGACTTGTGGCATTCCTGGCCGCAGGATTGCGGACAGCCTTGCGCTTGTCCGGGACACGGTCCAGTACATCAAAGACCGCCGTGTGCACGCGGCCCTGGTCAGTCTCGACCAGGAAAAGGCCTTTGACCGTGTCTCCCATGGGTTTATGTGCAGAGCCCTGCGCAGGTTTGGTCTTGGGGAAATGTTCTGTTCATTTGTGGATATGATGTATAACGACATTTGTAGTTCCGTGCAGGTGAACGGCTGGAAGACTGACCCCTTCCCGGTCCTCTCCGGGGTCAGACAAGGCTGTCCTCTCTCACCTCTGCTTTTTGTTTGCTGTATAGAGCTCTTCGCCGAATACATCAGACGGAATCCAGAGATCGGGAGAATCACCGCACCGGGACCAGACAGACGGGAAGTGAAGTGCTCGCTCTACATGGACGACGTGACGGTGTTCTGTGCCAACCAGCGCTCCATCGACCTGCTCGTCCAGACCTGCGAGGACTTCGGCCAAGCTTCGGGGGCAAAGGTCAACTGCGGGAAGTCGGAAGTCATGCTCTTCGGAAAGTGGTTCCTGCCTTCTTCTGCATCCATGCCCTTTGGCATCAAGACAGACTTCATGAAAATTTTGGGAGTTTGGTTTGGTGCCGAGGGCGCAGCCCTGAAATCTTGGGAGGAGAGACTGGCTAAAATGCGGCAGAAATTTGGACTTTGGAGCCTCAGAGACCTCACCATCGAAGGGAAGACACTGGTACTCCCCGCAGCGAGATTCTCCCTGTGTTGCAGTACCTCGCCCAGGCCTGGCCCCCTCGGGTCAACACCTGTAAGGCCATCACCAGGGCGGTGTTTCACTTCATCTGGGGCTCCAAGATGGACAGAGTGAAGCGGGCAGTCATGTTCAAGGAACCCCTCAAGGGCGGTAAGAGCGTGCCCGACATCGCCACCCAACTGAGGGTGTTCTTTGCTTGCAACTGCATCCGCAGAACTTTGCCCAGACGGACTATGGACTCTGGCGGGAACGCAATGTCTCGCTTCTTCTTGTTGCCTCTCTGGAGGTCCCTCGGGTGGGACACATGGGATAGTTCCATCCCCTACAACTGGGACACTCCTTGGTACTACTTGGATACCTTCAAGTTCATCAGGGAGCAAGGGCTGCAGGGAGTCAAGCCTGACTTGTGGAAGCCAAAGACTATCTACAAGCTCATCCGAGCCAGCGACATTTTGGAGTCGGTTCCAGGCCTGCCTTCAGACACCTGCAAGGTGGTCTGGAGGAATGTTTCTTCCAACATTCTCACCAACAGGCACAAAGACCTGGCATGGATGGCAATCCAAGGGGGGTTGCCTCTCAGGACATTTATGCATGCCAGGAACCTGAGCAGATACAGACACTGCCCCTTCTGCATCATCCACAAGGAAACATCTCACCACGTTTTCTGGGAGTGCTCATTTGCTCAGGCCCTGTTGGGGGCCCTGGAACCTGAACTCAAGGACTTTGTACCACAGACAGCCATCACTCACTTTGGGGTGTTGAATGGACTATTCTGTGGGACTTTTTCTCTGGAGGACATTGACGGCGCCTGGCGGGTGCTGTGCTGTTTTAAGGACGCTTTATGGTGCGCCAGAAAGCGCCTCATCCACCAGCGGGAGAGGATGTCCATTGAGGACTGCCGCAGACTGATCCTCAGTCTGCTCAGAGACTATTCCTTGATGGACTTTAAGGAGGAAGAGGACGTCTGAAGTTTCCCCCTTCCCCCCTACTCCCCCTTGCGTGTCTTTGTCCTTTCAATAAAGCTTCGGGCCTGTGTTTCCCCCTTTTTTTCCCCCTTCCCCCCCCCCACACACCCGATGCCTATTGTAGACTGTAACGTTTGGTTTTTCGTTGCATGATTTTGTGACATTAGTAAAAAGTATTGTGTATTAGGATGCTACGGTTTTTGGGGTAAGCGGCGTTATGCATGACGTGGTGGTCTGGAGATCCGTCCTCCACGCACATCACGTCAGGCATCATACCACTGAGCAAATGTATTTATTTCTGAATGTATTTATTGTATGCTTGGAACTGTATTGCAATGTGGTGCGCTGCGTCGCAGTACAGGGTGAGATGTACCCCGATTACATGTATCATGTTGTTTTTGATGCTTCTGTAATAAAAGTATCTTTTCAATCAACATCTAAGGACTGGTAAGATGCAGTATAGAAATTTTAGTTTATTACCTCTGCTTTCAGTCCTATCTCGAATGGATACTAGGAAAGGGTGCCCTTTGTCCCCACTATTTTTTGCTCAATGCAATGAGCTCCTGGCATTCT